CCTCCAATAGCTGTTGTAATTGCCATCCTTTAATGTATTTAATTCGCTTTTAAATTTACTAATGTTTTCCGTTTGTACTTCTTGTTTCCTTTCGTGTTCCAGTTGCCACTGCTGTAGTCTCTCTTCTTGTTTCTTTTCTCGTTCTTCTTGTTTATTTTCTTTCTCCTCTAACAACTGCTGTAATTTCTCTTCCTGTTTATTTTCTTTCTTTCTCTAACAACTGCTGTAATTTCTCTTCTTGTTTATTTTCTTTCTCCTCTAACAACTGCTGTAATCTCTCGTGTTTATTTTGCTGTTCGAGCTGCCATTGTTGTAGGTTTTCTTGCCACTGCTGTAATCTTTCTTCTTGTTTCTTTTCTCGTTCTTCTTGTTTCTTTTTCCTCCAACAACTGCTGTAATCTCTCTTGTTTATTTTGCTGTTCGAGCTGCCACTGTTGCAGGTTTTCTTGCAACTGCTGTTGTCTCTCTTCTTGTTTCTTTTCTTTTTCCTCTAACAACTGTTGTAATTTCTCTTCTCTTTCTTCTTGTTTCTTTTCTTTTTTCTCTAACAACTGTTGTAATTTCTCTTCTCGTTCTTCTTGTTTCTTTTCTTGTTTGTTTTCTCGTTCTTCTTGTTTCTTTTGCTGTTCTTGTATTGCAGCCATCAAGTCTGCTATGCTGTAGTTTGATTTGCCGCTTCTCGTTTCCATTTTTTTGTCCCACTCTCTGACATCAATTTGTTACGTCTCCGTTTGTTTGTTAATTAACTTTCCGTAACTTCGTTTCCGACGAAACTTTAGCGACATAAGTCCTTACTTAATAAAACTGGTTTATTCTTTCCGAATACAACTTTACGATACACTTAATTTCAATATTCGCTGACCTCGATGACGCAACAATATATTAAAGTGGTTATTTCGTAAAGCGATGAAGACTGTGTAATTAACCGTTGCTTGATTAAGAATTTTTACCACCACATGTTTTGCACCTACAATTTCAAATAAAGAGTAATATGAGATGAAACAAATTTTAGAAAGTTTCTGCGTTTTAATTATTCTGTATATTTTTGTTTTGTTATGTCGACAAATTTGGCAAAATGTTTCGAAAACAATTATAGATTTACAGAGGGCGTTTAGTATCACTGAGATAAATATCCCAACGCTAATTTTCATGTCACAATGAGAAATTTTAGGGTTAGTTTGGAGGACGATGGCGTAGGTAGCATAGAGAGAGAGGCACCTGTTATAACAGGCTATGGATAATCCGTTATCTTTTCATTCGAGCTCATTATAAAGGTTATTTTTTCCTTCCTAAATCTGGAAATATTTACTCTCAAGTATAATGTTATAGAAATGAACTTTTCACAAATATGCAATTTGACATTTTTTCGTATACTTCTTTTGCTATGTTTATTTGGAACTCTCTATTTAATCCTCCAATCCGAAGCTGGATTTTTACCGAAATTGCAGGTGGGATCTCGTAAACTACAAACAAATGACATCAAAGAAATACCAGGAAAAGGAAAAGCCGTGGGTGTGAGGGAAGATGAAAATCCGTCAGGAAGCCGTTTTTTATCATTTTGTTTCGAAGAAGCTGACTTTTCAAAGTCATGTTCTTACAGAAATGTCTCATCACCTGATAACATTGAAATAGCTATGATACTTACAAAAGCTCACGAAATTCGTGGATTAAAAGAAAAATTTTCAGTTTCTGTTTCTTCAATATTTCAACATACAAATTCAACATTAAGATTTCATCTTATATGTGATGATCACAGTATGATTATTGCAAGAAAAGTCATTCAGAGCATAGGCAGTTTAGCAAATAATTTTGTGCAGGTAAGTAATTAATTTAGTTTAGAATGTATTATTATTTTCACACATTTACTGACTCTATTTACTATTTTTTATTTATACAGTGGCGTACAAATATGCTGTTGATATGTGCATGGTAATAGAGAACAACTCCACACAGGTTTGTCACAGTAACGTGTTATTGTTAACCTATTTCTCTTTTTCAGTATTTGTAATGGCAAAGTAACTAATTGTAGTAAGTTTCTAAATCATCTGATTATACAGGAATTAGTGTAGGTAATAAATTTTTAAAGTATAATGACTTAAAAGCAGCATTTGAAAAATTTGAACAGTCTAATTCAGTAATTTTATAAGCTTCTACAAAGAAGTTGCTTACATTGTATATACAGAAAATTATGTGGTAATAAAAGGAAAGAGACTAAAATGAACTTGAAACTTGCATGGCTTAATTATTTATGCAACCATGATAGGAATAAGATCAAGACAGTGTCATCTGGATAATGACCAAATCAGTATAGCCTATAGGCCTAAATAGTAATATGTTTTGCTTATAAATACTTTTTTCTATTGTATTCTGTGTCACACCCATAGAAAACATGCTAAATATGCAATACCAATAGAAAACAGGGAGAAGTATAATCAGTCCTATTCAGAAATGTCAGCTCTGAGTTTTGGGGTTAAGTGAATGTTATCCTGTGCTATGTTATTTTGAAAAGATTTATTCACAATATGCAGTATTGGTATAGCATACTCAAATTTCAAATTTTTCTGACAATGCACTGCTGGTTTTAAAAACTGTTAGGTCTTACGGTAAATAAACATGGGACCTATGGCAATGAATTACATTTTTATGTATGAAATAAACAGGACATATCATATTTCAAATTTGAGTATATTTAATGACAAAGGAAGAAAATTAAAAAGTTTTTCTTATACAGCAATTATATTCTTACAGTTTATTTAAGCGAAGTGTATATGTATTAGGTTGTCAAGAAATTAATGTCGCTTTTTTTTAGATGAAAAAAACCAAACAACTTGTATATCAAAACAAAACATTTATTAAATGAAATAGTCTCCATCCTTATCAATGATGCTTATCCATCTTACAATCAGGTTGTTAATGCCCTGATTAAAGAAATCACTTGATTTTAAATAAAAAATATGCCAATGTCCTCTTTAACACCTTCCACATGTGTATACATTTCCCCATTAAGATGGTGTTGCAGCGAATGATGTTCCCATATCTGTAGAATATGGTAGGTGGGGGAGAACTTCCCACCCCAACCTCATAATCTTGTGTTGCATCAAATGTGCCACATGTGGGCGTGGAGAAGAACACCTTTCTGATTGATGAGTGAAGGGCTTGATTTAAACGTTCCAGTTGCTGACTACAGATCTATGCATTGACAATTCACTGTGCATTGAGGAGGTTGAAATGAGTTACTCCTTTGATGTCCCACCAAATGCAAAGCATCACTTTCTGTGGATGGTGTTCAGGTTTTGGGGTTGTAAGTGGTTTTTGTCTAGGACTGAGCCATTGTTTTTGGTATTTAATAATAAATATTTGCATAGAGAATCCATTTTTCATCACCCGTGACGATTCTCTCCAAAAATGGTTCACGCGTATTACATGCCAGAATAGACAAAGCAACATTCACACGTTGGAAACGATAATCATCAGAGAGTTCGTGAGGCACCCAAACACCTTCTTTATGGAGTCTTCCCATATTCCTGAGATGTTTATGTATTGTTTCATAAGAAACATACAATTTCAGGGCCAGTTCATGAGTGTGTTGCCTTTGGTTTGACTCAACAAGCATCTTCAGAGCATCAATATCAATTCCAACATGTTGGCCTCTGCCATCACAGTTTTTAAGGCTAAAGTCACCTGAACAAAATTTGCTGAACCATCGTTGACACTTACAAATATTCAACACATTTCCTTAAATTTCTTTGATATTCTTTGTGGCTACAGAGGTGTTGTTTCCCTTCTTGTATTCAAATAGCATTACATGCCGAATGTGTGTGTGTGTGTGTGTTGTCAAGTGCCATCGCTATAAGGGATTAGAGTATACTAAACTTTACACATTATATAGGCTACACTAACGTGACGTTTAGGCAATTCATTTAACTATTATACGTGATGTACATTTTTGGGTGGTGGTTAATTAAATTGTTGCAAAATATGATAGTAATTTCTTGATGACCTAATACTAGCTTGATTTTACTTTCAATAAGGCATATAAAGGCACATTTTCTTCTTCATTACTAATACTTCAATAACTGTGACTTCTTGGTATGCTATTCCAGTTCTATGTTTAGTTCATTTGAATTAATATCTTTCCTTAACTAAGATTAAGTTTGATTAATATTACTTCCACACAAACATTGGCTAATAATTCCATGCATTTATAATATGGGCAGAAAAATTGTTTCTCCAATTTTTGACATTACATGAAGTTTTCTTAATTTCCACTTATGGTCTTGAGTCAGACCCTAATCAATCTTAAAAAAAATAATTTAAAAAATGTTGGAAGTGTGGAACTCAATCCATTCCAAAGCTTGAATACCTGAATCAGGGCTATTTGCCATCTGGAATATTATAAGGATGGGCAGAAGTTGTAGTTTCATAAATCTTCTTTTTTTCATTATTTAAACAATGCCCTTACATGAAGGTATTAACTTGGTAAATCTTCTTTTAACTTGTTTTATCAAATTAATTTTTTACAATATTCCAAAATAGGTTTTATTATATAACGATGTGCATCAAAATTGTTAAATTCTTAACAAGACCCTTGTTATTTAGTCTTGTTTATAGATTAATTTCATTCATTATGTACTCATGGTTTTTATAGCCCAAATTCTGTACATTTATTAATATTAAACAGTAACCACCTTACTCTTGACTATGAGGTTGTGACAACAAGGCTATCCTGAAAAAAATTTCAATCAGATTCATTAGTTATTGCTGCATAAGAATTTGTTTCACATCATTGATGAAGTGCTTTAAATATTATACAACCTTGTCCTCACTGTTGTTTGTAAAGATGATAAACAAGACTGGTTCCAAAATAATACCCTTAGGTAATTCCATGATAACTGATTGTTAATCACTACCTTTTGGGTTTTTCCAAACAAAAGGACTTATCCAATCTAGTAGGGAACCTCATACATCATAGGATTTCAGTTTTTCATTACTCAAGTATGTGGGGCCCTGTAAAGTGCCTTACTAAAATCAGTGTAAGGTATAATCAGAGTTTTTAAAAAATAGAGAACTCAAAGATTTTCGGCAATTCTATGCAACAGGATTTACCAACTCAAAAAACAAATTTTATTTTCACTGAAAATTTATTATCTCTGAAATAATTAACAAGTTGATTTCTAAGTAGTCATTCCATCAATTTTCTGCTAATGCTTGTTGTGTAAACTGGTGATTCGCTTTTATTCCTTCCTTGAAAGTAAAAGTAACATTAACTTACTTCCATCTGTTTGGAATAATGTATACACAGAATAGTTTGCTGAATATGTATACACACACACTTTTATAAATAATGCTGGTATTATTTCTTTAATTATTTCTCTAATAAATCTGGAATTAATAGAATCGGACTAGACCCGTGCTTTCAAAGTACTTGAGTGTTGAATGATTTCATAAATTGAATCTTCTGATATTTCAAAGTTAGCCAACTTGTGATCGTTGCTTCTGGCATCAGGATCCAGTATGCAAGACAGATCCTCATTACAGAGACTACAAAACTGGCTTTAAATAACTGCCTTTTCTAAATCTCACATTATATTCCTATTTTCTATTACCAGATTAGGATTGGATTCCTTCATCTGAATTTTGACCTAAGACCAAAACCATCTCAGGTTTAATTTCTTGGGCTATTTTCTTTAAAAATTCTTTTACTGAAATAATGAGTTTGACTGCAATACTTCTTGCACAATGAAATTTTTTTTTTCCATTTTCAGCCATTGTATTTTTTTAAAATTAATTCCACAATTATGGACAACAAGAAATGTTTTTGGTCCTGCACAGCTGTCTTTGTGCACCCACCCTTGAGAAAATTATAAATTTAAATCCATCCTTTATATTTCAGAAATTGCTGATTGCATAAACTTGTGTAAAGTGTTAACCTCCATGGAAGCTTTTTCTGTAAGTCAGTCAATCTGTTAGAAAAATAAAACTGCCTTAACTAGAATGTAGTTTGTCTTTTCCAAATCTTACACTTGTACTGTCTCATCCTATTATCTTCAAAAGTATAGCACAGATAAATTGGAGGCCTTTATTCTATCAATCCCTTGTATAATTTCTTAGCCCTCCTCTGAACACTTTCCATTAGGTCAATATCCTATCTTAAATAAGAAGTCCAAAACTGTACACAGTATTCCAAGTGAGGTGTAACTGCAGTAGTAATTTGTATAGAGAGTTAATTACTTCTTTTTTAACTTGTAATCAGTATGTCAATAAATATACCCTAAAAATTCTACTAGCTTTACTGCTGACAACAGAACACTGCTTTGATGGCTTAAGTGACTATCTGGCACTATGCCATGATATGAACTCTATTAACAATAAAATTTTGTTTTCTCCCATCCAGCCACCCTACAGTCATGCTAATTAGTCTATCCTCAGCCTCTGCTGATGTGATTTTCTTAGCTAATTGTTTGTGTGGCACTTTATCAAATGGGCCTTGCACCTGATCAGGGTGAGAGCTTCAATCAAGGAGTCTTGCACCACTAACCTCCAGTGAAGGAGTATTATTGTACTTGAAATAACCTTTCTGTTTATCTAAAGAGGTTTAGATTGTTCAGAGTTGAATAAAGCAGAACATAGGTTGGAAATGAATTTTGTTATAATTCCTTAAAGCTAATTTTATAGAGTAGAGTGTGTGATATTCTTAATCTCTATCTCATCTGAAAACTTCTGGTCAAATAGACTTGGTTGGTAGCTTCCAAGTGTTTGTGTATATATATTCTGTTATATGTTAAAATAAAAACAACTTTTTTTTCATAAAAACAAAATTCCATGTGATCTAAACTAGCACACACACAACATACAAATGCTAGTCAATCTCTTAAGGTAGAAGCCATCAAATATAAATTCAATGAGAAGTATATCAATTTACCTATTTAACTGAATAATTCTAATATATTATCATCAGGAAAACTTTGTATATATTAACACAAAAAAGCAATGTTTCATTACTACTAAGATATATAGTAGCAGTGAAATATCTGATTGATTCATACTTGTTTCTTCTATAGTGTGAATTATAGTATGAACTGGGTAATTGAATACACTTAGTTGAACCTCATATTTGTAGTTTATAGGCAAAACCTATAATATCCACTGGTTGTGTGTTAATATCTGATTTCATTTCATTTATTTTAATAGCCTTAAATAGCAATTTGTTGACTGTAAGACCATATTTAAATATAGTTGATTGTAGACTTGGTTTATTCAAAACCTAGTATATTTTGTTTTGTAGATGATACCCTAATGAAAGTTTCTGCAAAATGAAGAATTTTCTGGAAGATGTTTGAGAAACATGTATTATCAAGGTTGATTAAAAACTCAATATTATTATTTTTATTGGCAAACAGTATTATATTTTTTATGTGTGTAAAATGTGCAACTAACATGGGTACCTCAACAACTGTAACACCCCAAAATGCCTGGAATAATATTTTTACATTGCATTTTTATGCCCTGAATCCAAAAAAAAGTCTTTCTCCATATGGTGTTTTCATGGAGAAATTTTTTTTAATATTTTTTGACATAGTAAGTTACATCTTTGTAAGAGTAATTTGATGTAGATCAGAATTGAACCTTCTACTTACACAAACATACTGGCTTCCACCACCAGGAGCCATGCTGACTTGTGTCTTCTCTCTCTCTCTGTATATATATATATATATACTTGATGGTGGAAATTCCTGACTTTAGGGCCCAATTGTTCTGTAAAACCACAATATTTGCAAAAATTGGATTTGGATTATTATTGCAAGCATTTTTTGGATGTGAAAGTGGTTGAGGTATTTATATAAAGTCCTAGAAATGTCAAATGCCAGTATATAATAAAATTGAAAACAAAACAAAAAATTGTTTATCAACAATAGCTGTTGAAGCTATTGTGTAAACAGTTGACAGGACAGTTTTTATGTTTGTTAAGTGGTATGTATTTCACAGATAATTCCAGCTTTGAATTCTTCAGTGGTTTTTGGTGGATACCAAAAATTATGATGTTTCACTTTTATTGTAAATGAGTAAAATTTGGAATGTATATGAAAAGGAAGTGTATTTATTGTTGATGTAGTTTTATTATAGACTATGTATGTGGAACTGATATCAAAATCATACTCTGAACAGAAAAAAAACATTACACATGTTTAAAGCAAGTCAGGTTGAATGTATTTTGAATTTTTGAACAATAACATGATTTTTTGTAAACAACTCCATTATGTCCCAATATAACAAACCTTATTGTTTTTTTTGACTTTCAGATTTTTTTCTATCATGTGGACTATGTCATTAAGCCAGTTGAAGATGTGATTTCCTATCTTCAGCCCCACTTTACTTACAAACCTGGAGCCTATTATAGTGATTCTTTATTTTTTCTCTCTATTGTTATCTACAGGGTGTTTCCACAAGAGAGACTCCTTATGATAGATGTAGATACCAAATTTATGTCTGATGTGAGTGATCTCTATTCTCATTTTAAAAACTTCACATCTCAGACTGTAATTGGATTAGCTTACGAACAGCAACCCGTGTATCACCACTTACTTCATGAATATCACCAAGCTCAACCTGATTCTTTGGCTGGCATGCCTCAACCAGCTGGTTCTCCAGGGTTTAATAGTGGTGTTTTGCTCTTAGAACTTCAGAGTATGCGTAATTCTAATCTTTATCAAAATCTTATTCAAGAAACTGCAGTTAAAAAGTTGGTACAAAAGTACAAATTCAAAGGGCATCTTGGTGATCAGGATTTGTATTCACTCTTGGGATTTGAACATAAGGAGTTATTTCACATTCTTCCTTGTACTTGGAACAGACAATTGTGTCATTGGTGGAAGGATCATGGGTATGAAGATGTCTTTGAAGATTATAATCAATGTGATGGAGAAATCAACCTATACCATGGTAACTGTAACACTCAGATTCCTGACTAACATTATAATTATTATTAATCAAATATGCTCACAGTGTGTTTATACAATATATATATATATATATATAGAGAGAGAGAGAGAGAAATAATTTTCATAAGTTACTCTAACAAAGTGCATTATATATAATAAGGAAATCTAAAATGTAGTATACTTTATTAAGCAATCATTTTTGTGTCTTTCTTCAGTAAAATAAATCTTTGATTTGTGTGTTAACTGTCTTCATAAATGTACAGTATGTGGCTTTCCACATTTATGTAACTTGTACACCGCTCTTTCTAGTTATTCACATATAGTTCATTATGCTTAAGTTGAAAAATAATTTCAAAACTACTCATATTCATGATAAAAACAGTCATGCAGAAAAGTAACTTTACTGGATGTTTATGGACAATGCAGCAAAATATTTTACAAAATGCATTTGGAAGTTGCTTTGTTTTCTAAACTTAACATTATGATTTTTCTAACTTAAGCTGTAGGCTTTAGAGGTGTTACTGTTGTATTTTAGATTAATTTGATATGGATATAGCCTAGTTAAAATTGGAAATTTTCTAGAAGTGAAGCATATTCTTATGCGATAAAGAAAATTTTTAGTTGTAACAAAGATAATATACAGGTACTATTAGCCAATATGACTTTTGCTTGTAAGAAATATATTGCATATAAGCAAAATTCCATACCACAGTGGTTAAATGCCCAGCTATTAGTAGTCAAAATAGATGCTGATTTACTTATTATGAAGTTGAGTAATTGATAAATATTCACAATTGATTCCAAGACTGAGTGAGGAGAACCTCTTTAACATGTAACATTCTAGCATTGGTGGCTCTACATTAAATCTTGAAACTGAAACTTCATTAACTGATGTGATGGTATGTCTACCAGTTCAGATTGGAATTGGGTCTTCATTAAACAAGGTAATGGTGTGTCTACCAGTTCAGATTGGAATTGGGTCTTCATTAAACAAGGTAATGGTGTGTCTACTAGTTCAGATTGGAATTGGGTCTTCATTAAACAAGGTAATGGTGTGTCTACCAGTTTACATTGGAATTGGGTCTTCATTAAACAAGGTAATGGTGTGTCTACCAGTTCAGATTGAAATTGGACCTTCATTAAACAAGTTAATGGTGTGTGTACCAGTTCAAATTGAAATTGGACCTTCATTAAACAAGTTAATGGTGTGTGTACCAGTTCAAATTGAAATTGGACCTTCATTAAACAATGTTATGGTGTGTCTACCAGTTCAGATTGAAATTGGACCTTCATTAAACAAGGTAATGGTGTGTCTACCAGTTCAGATTGAAATTGGTAGCCAGAAATGTACTTATGGATACTGGTTACCAGGGGATGTTTAGTATTATTACCAGCCTCAATCACTCATGAATTATGCTCACTACAAATCTAGATCAGATTTTGACTCTCATAGGTAATCTGGTTAAAACAGTTGCAGGCTGATGCCATGAACCTTAAGAATTGATATAATATTTGTTTGATTATTTCAAAACATCTTGCATTATAAAAAAAAAAATGTGATCACACATTTCATTTTAATAGATCTGTAAAATAATTTGTATGTCCGGTATCAAGGTTATATGTTTTAAGCTAAAGTAACTAATTTTGAATATCTTTATGAAAACAAATCTTCATATTCAACAGTTTCTTGAGTGAAACATTAACCTGCCTCCCATATTATAAATGTAGTTTTATAAATTAACTTCATAAAAAAAAACTTGGCTAAACATTACTTTTTTAAAAATAAGAAAGTGCATGATTCATCTCCCAATTTCAACATTTCTAGAACTGAATCTAAATATACCTTTTTTTTTAATATAGAGGTATTACCTTATATTTGAAGTCTTGATGGATATTACAATAAATTGTCATTACTGAATATCAAAGTGAATGCTGCTTTCCGTATATTGTACTTCATTGTATATGTAATAAAATTTTGCACTATCGTGATGTATAAAGTTAGTACGTATATTGTAAGTACGAGTGCCATACCTTCTTTTATTGTTTGAAGATATGCAAGGTGTTTCTTATGTCTATAAGTGAACCTGTACAAGTGATTACATATAATGTAGTTAATTTTTTGGTGTTTTTAAGCTTTGTAAAGAAGCCCATGCTTTTAATGTAACATTTTCCTGTAACTATATTGAAAGGCAACTGTATGGTTCATATGTTATTCTGAACATCTTGGGAACTTTTTTTTTTTATTAAGATGAAGTGATATACTTCACGCCAAAAAATTTGCAATAATTCTGTTTTGATGAGCACTGAAATCAAAGTGTAACAGTTTATCTGTACTGTTCTCTGCATCTATTTATTTTTGAAGATACAAAAAATTAACTTTTTAATAATTTCAGAATCAAGTATAAGCTTTTATAGGTTTTCCTTGTAGTATAGTAAGCAGTGCTGGTAGTTGGTGTCTCCAGAGTTTTAGCACGTAGTGCTTATTGTTTTACATATATGTGGGTGTTGTTTTTTGTGTCTGACACAACTGGTGTTTATTATTTTCATAAAAATGGTCAATACAGTCGTCAGGTGTAGTATAAGTAGTGCTCGTAACTGTTTTGTTGGCTTTGTTGTGATACACAGTAAAAATTAGCGATAGTAAGACATGTCTGGTGTTAGTACCACGTAGAAGCAATTTTAGAAATGGTGTGTAACTACGTTATGTAGTGGATTTTAGTGTAGCAAGGCATAAATGGTAAAAGTATAGCTAGCTACTACCTGTACATGTATGTTTATTGGTGTTGGTACCAAGTACGTAGCTGTCGTACAAGTAGATCTTGTGCCATAACTGTTCATGTATTACCTAAACAATTTCTATTTGTAAAACTAAAAGCAATCTTTTGTAAAACCTATTTTGTGTTAATTAAGCATACTCTCAGATATGTATGTGTGTAAAAGGACTCGTGATTATAAAGCTTAAAAAAAGCACTTGGAACTTGGGTTTCACAAACCCATAAAGTTCTTGTCAACTAATTAAAAGACGTATTCCTGAGTAATATGTAAAATGATAAAATATACTAAACAAAAAAAAAAAGTGCTACTATAGCATGCGGTGTATACAGATACTATCATCATCATCATCACTGTTTTAATGATTCACTAAAACATCATTTCTTGCTAAATAATTTATACCTATTCACATTTTTGTTCAGCAAATAATAATAATTTAATAAGTTGTGTGTTCCAAGAGAGTATCTTAAATTTAGGTTATAATTGTGCTAGTTTTGATTGTTGGAACTTGTTTCGTTCCGATTATATTTGCCCCAAAAAGGTTATGTAATGTTATTTTATACTTTATTAGTTTAAAAGTATTGTTTATAATAACTGGCACCAATTGCAAATAAATGAAAGTTAAAATGGTGATGATGAAAGTGTAGACTGCACCCTATAGTAGAACCAAAAAAAACTTGAATTTAATGCAACTATATTAATATAAATAATAGTTACAAGGTTAACTGAAATAAGAAGTTATCTTTGATGGCTCAGAATATGGTAAAAATCATAACAAAATTTATCGAGAGAAATTTGAATATAAATGGATGTAAAATTCTAAGATATAGAACGATATTTTCAAGGCTGTTTATTGAAATATAAATGTAAGGTGGCTGGCTATTAGGTGTTCATATGAAAAGACTAGGATGTACTATACCTGTACTTATATAACAGTCATATTTGTATTGGACAGAGTTGAAGGAAAAAATGCTTAGATGTCACATAAAGTTGTATGATAAGCCATGGATGTAGGAGAAAATACCAAATTCTTTTTAAAAACAATGTATTAATTTTTATAATTGATTGAGTGCTTTTTATAAGCAGAAGTTTGTCAAAATAACAGCTATTTAGTACTATTTATCATTATAAATTAGTTTTATTACACTTTAAGAATGTCCAATTAATTTGAAATATAGTAGTATAACTAACTTTTTTTTATTGAAGTGATTAAGTCCAATGTTTAGAAAATAAATATTTTGTGATTATCTAGTTTGTTTTTCAGTAGTTAATGCAATATATGATGTACTGTAGGTTACTATGTAACTATACATAATAGACATACTAGATAGTTTAATGAACATTTTTGTTTTGACATATATTTTACATTAGTATAAGTCCCTCAAGTTTTATCTGTATTTTGTTTGATTTCATACATTTCTTCCAAGGTGGCATTGATAACATAAAAATATATTTTATTAATTGTATAGTTATTTTTAACATCTTGTTTGTATTGTAGAATTTTATTTATGTTTTAGTGAAATAGCATCTCAGGTCATAAACTATCATAAGGTACCTGTAGTTTTCATTGACTTCCATGTACAATACATTTATGAATCAAAAGTGTATTTTCACAGTTTTCACTTGTACTCTACAAAAATCAAAAATGTTTTTTTATCTCTAATTTAGAAGCACATCCCAGTTTATTGATGTTTCACTTTTGAACCTGCTTTACAGTGAATATTATTTAACAGAATATGATTCTTGATGTGAACAAAAAAGGTTCAGCCACTGTATAGTTGAAACAGTTTTGCTTCTATAAATTCTAGAGCTAACAATCATAAATAGCTTCAAATTGTGATTTTGTTTAGTGCAGTACAGATGAACACCTTTTTTTGACCAAAATTAAGTGCAGAAACAGATGTACGGGTAAAATGTTGCAGACAAATCAACTTTTATGTGCTGGAGAAACTAGTAATAAAAAAACAAGTGTATGGCTTATGCATGAAAAAAAACGTATCCAGTAAAAAATGCATCTTATAGGAGAAGAAGAGAAGGAATTATGGAGAAACAAAAATAACTCAGTAGAAATTGAATTACATTGTTGCTTCCTACCATTTGTAAACTGTTAGACTGTCTCACCTCTTGAGTGTCTCAATTCAGGCTTCTGAAATATTTTGTTTTGCTTACCTTGTAACATTTACAGAGACTTTACAATGTTCACAGTGCTTGGATTGAAAAACAAAAGATAGCTATTGGATTAAGTAGTTTTCATACAGCAGTTTACAGTTATATATACCTCTATGTATATTAAAAGACAATAACTTACGGTAGTTACGAGAACCAAAGGTATACTGAAATATCCTGTCCATAATAGAATTTTTTGTGTAATTAATAACTAGAAACTTCCATGCTGTTAATTTGGATTTAATGTAATTACAAGAATTATAATTTTTTATGGTAATTATCAAGTAAAATTTTCCAATAATTTTATAATGGCAAAATTCAGAGGGCTCTATTTAACTACAAGATTTATGTGTTAGTGTTTAGATGTTTGTACCGTACCTGAAGGATGTTGCAGAGTTTCGTTTTAGCCTTTATATATGTATCAACATAAAGTAATGTAATCTATATCTAAGACTCGAGTTACCCTCATGTAGGTTTCATTTTTGTGAGTAAACAACTTTAAAAAATTTACTTAATTTGCCATGTATCCGATAGTCATAGGATACAATATTTCGTTTTTTTGTAACCATGTTTATTTTGTTATATAAAAGTTATTTTTCCTTAAGAAAGTATGATAGTTTATAAAACCTTTTTTTTTTATTGTAACTTGAGTTTTAAGTGTTATGTGCACTTACTAACGTTTCATCATTTATAGTTTATTTTTAGTGCTTGTCAGTACATGTAATTAATTAATACTATGCAAGATCACTTTATTACTGTTCTTGTTTTTCATGGTAAACAGTTTTATATTTCTCAATTAAGGTACAAGACAGTGCATAACCTTGTACATGTTGTAATATTTTGTTGTATTTGAAATGTTTTCCCCATTTATTTGCTATTAATCAAATTGATCAACTTATTTACTGCTTACCTTGTGTGTTTTCTGTTCAGTTGTTTTACCTGACTAACATCTCTAACAAAGTTGTTTGTACTAATAATTACGGATCATAACTATAGTGGTAAGTTTCCATTTCACCCTATTTTCTAAATATTTCGTTGCATTGGCAAACACGTAATAACGACTTCACTGTCCAATTTTATTGTGGAAATGATATTTGCAGAGGTAATTTGACTAAATTTGATCTCTTGTCCACAAACCAGCATAGTTGACTTTAATGATGGTAAACCTTTAAACGTTGATTTGTAAAAACTGTCAAGGTATATATAGGTTAGTTCTTCACAGTACTTATAAACAAAGGCTGTGGAACAATTAAAATAGTTGCCATATTTTTCTCTACTCCTGTGACTAAATCTTTTCTGTTAGGTATCATTAAATAGATAAATGGGATACAAATTAGAAGGGTAATTTTTGTTAATATCATTTATTATTTGTAGAATTTATGCAACCAAAGTACAAGATTATATCAGTGCCAAGAAAGCACAATCTGTGCAGCTGTAGCAGAAACCCTAGTTATAAAAAATGGTTATGATACTTTAAAATATAATTGTGCAAATCAATGCATATTGCATGATATTGTTCTCAAATATTTGCAGTCTTCACTGTGGTCCAAGTATGTATAAACTAATAGTTGTGGACATAAAACAGGTAGTGTTTCACCAGTCTGAATGGGTGAAACT